CCACCCCTTCGCCACGGCTTTAACCCATTGAGTTCTGCTCCAAACGATTGAGTTCTGGCGGATCTATCATTATTCCCTGGCGCGCTCCCCCTTGCGTCGGCCGGGGTCGGCGGATTTCATTCTGCGTGCGAGCTCCTCAGTTCCCAGAGTCTGATTGGGAGAACAGACAAAATTTGCTTCACGTCTGTGCCATGGATGGATCGGCAAGCTGATATGTGGGATTGACGTCCTGGGGTCAGTGTGACATTGGAAAACACCCAGCTAGGTCAATGCAGCGAAGCAATCCACATGCAACCCAAAAAGGAAGGGGGAGTGAATATTTGCCAGCAGTTGGATAAGGCAATGGGACTGGACACGTTCATATATATATATATATATATGATACCGTTCTCCTCATGTAGAAACAGTATTTCTTAGTCCCCTACTTCCTCATCCCCTTCCCAGGTGGTGGGAAGCATCCCGAAATGCGCTTCCCAGGTGTTCACTGTGAGAAAGACATCGCGACGGACGCCAGTCCCACCTTGTGTCCTGGTCTGTTTGAGTCGAGGGGCCAAACATCCATCATTCAAATTACTATAGACTTGCAAAGGCATTGGGGATGGAGTGTGCACGACGCAGCACATTCTTTTGAGCCCTTCCAAACACTCTACAATCTTTTCCACAGCGCAGGAATTCCAATGGGTGAAACATCCGATCATCCGCTCCCTTCAACTCATCCATCCGCATCTCCAGCGAGTCCACTCGTCAAGCGTTTTTGTCAAACCTCGAGGTTTGAAGGGCGTTGGTATCACAAAGTCTGCTGGGAGACCAAGCTCAAGAGCTGGGCTTCGAAGCCCGAGACTCCAAGCCGTCCAGGCGCCGAGAGACCGAGAGAGCGAGACCACGGAGAGAAGCAGGACAGAGGCGGTGAGCAAGCAGCAAGGTGGTCTGAAAACCGCCCCCGAGTTGCAAAATCTGTCCTGGCTCACGAGCGCGAGGCGCAAAGGGTAGCGGGCAGCGTTTGCCATGAAAACATCCGTGATTAACAGTCTTTGCCTCCCCCTTTGTGCCCATCAACCCGGCGCAGGTTTGCAGAAGAGCTGCCAGGCTCGGAGAGTCTGACAGAAGTGCTACTTGCAAATATTGCAAGGCTGTGGATCTAATCCTTGGTGTAGGGGCTCAGTTCTCACCGGCCGGTTGTATTGTGACCGACTAGCACCTGACGCGGACAAATTCTGCTTTTTGGAGGCCTGCGGCGGAGAGATCTTGATGGATGCGGTGTTGGTGACCTGTCGATGATTTCGGGTGGGCGTTGGGGGGCTTGCGGTAGTCTCCCGTCAAAGCCGTCCCTTTATTCTGACCAACTCAGAAACAAAGTTCCATTACTATTGCAGCAGTGATGTACTGTAGGAGTCACTTGCCGAATGGGTAAGGCCCGTAAGGCGTTGTCTTGCAGACTCAAAGGTTGAAATGGAACCATCATTAACGTATGCGGTTGTTCACCTCAACTCTGGCTTCAACTAAATGTAGCTGCAACCCACCCCAATGGATCTCTTTTTCATTCTTTGGACCATAGGACACATGTGGACACTGCAGTGAAGAACTGTGGAGCTCGCGTTCGCGACCGTGAGCGCTGCTGCGGAACGGGTCCCATCCACCGATTCGGCCGGCTGCCGTTGATTCGTGTCATCGACTCCCGAAGTCCCGAAGGATTGATGGCTCTAAGGTGAAAGATCAATGGCTCCACCGTGGCTGCTTTGAACAGAGCCAGGCTGAAATAGCAGGGGGTACCAGTGGGACGCGAGGTGGAGCAAATGGTGGCAGTCCTTGTAGACCAGCGTCGGGGGGCCGCCTGGCAGGCCGTCATGGCAGGCAGACGCTCATCCTCTTGGCTGATCATACGCGATGGACAAAAGGTCTCACGATATTACAGTACTCAGTAATCCTCTGAGATGACCTCAAGTGGTATTCCTTCCTTCCATCTCTCTGTCTGTCTCTCTGTCTCTGTCTTTGTCTCTGTCTGTGTATGTGTCTGTCTGTTTGTCCGTCGGTCTGGTCTGGTCTGGTCTGGTCTGTGTCGGTCGGTCGGTCGGTCGGTCGGTCCAGGAGCATAGACTGTCCGTCAAGCACGTGTTGGCTTTGCGCAGGTGGTCCGCTGCGCCTTTTGCCAGCTGCTGATCCAAGAAGTGTCGCAAAAGGCGATGCTGGACGAGAAAGCGCTCCACACACACTGTGGTCCAGCTGCGTTAGTTTAGTCTGGCCCAAAAGCCATCAGCACTATCACTTGTCACTATTTTTAACGGTATATAATCTAACTTTTTTGTTGTACCACGAAAGGATACTGGGGCTTTCACACTGAGTTCAGGCCCTAACAAGCAATAGGAGAAGCAACGGCGGTCTCCAGGCGACCTTTCAGGACGGCATTGTTCAATTGCTTTGAAGCAACAGCCTCATAGACCACCAGGGGACTTCCTTTTCCATCTACTTATCTAGTTGGGGTTACGGAACCAGTTCTTGTGCCGTCTCCGGGACTTCAGATTCCACTGAGGCATCCGACCTTTTCTTGAGAAGGGCAGCAAGGTTGTGGAGCCGGCAGGCATGAGGGAGTGGACTGCACGCAGCACGAAGGTCATAGGCTCGTAGACTAGCTTCTTGGGGAGCAATGCGACCTACGAGATACCTCCAGAATCTGATAGAATAAAGGTTGCGCGAGGTTGCGGTTGGGTTGTCTGTCACGAAGAGGCCCTTTGGATGCATGGACCCACTCCAAACACGTGGTTGATTGAGTTCCACGTTCTTGGATTTCATGCCAGCTGTGGGTCCCTCATTTTCTTGCATCGCTCATACCCAAAGGTTTGAAACCGGTTTGCCACTGCGATTTGGGATCAGTGAAATCGTGTGCCATGGGGATGATGTGGTATGGATGGGCGTGTTTGTTTTATTTTTAATTCTAATTTTTTCTTCGGATTCTGCTTTTGCTGCTTTTCTGCTTTTGTTGCTTTTATGCTTCTGCTGCTTTTTTGCTTTTGTCGCTTTTCTGCTTCTGCTGCTTTTTTGCTTTTGTTGCTTTTCTGCTTCTGCTGTTTTGCTTTTGTTGCTTTTCTGCTTTTGTTGCTTTTCTACTTTTGCTGCTTTTCTGCTTCTGCTGTTTTGCTTTTGCTGCTTTCCTGCTCTTTGTGTTTTTGTCTTTCTGCTCTTTGCTTTTGTTGCTTTTCTGCTTTGGCAGCTGTTCTCCTTTCTCTTGTTGTTTTTGCTTTTCCATTTGTTTGCTTTCTAACCTTTGGATTTGGTGTTGGATCTGGTGTGCTGCTGGGGGGGCGCTGCGCGTACTAATAAGAAACCTGCTCTATTCCAATGGTTTTGAAAAGAAATCCGAAAAACATGAAAAAACACCCAAATTAACAGTGCACCCATGTGGTATCTAGCCTCCGATGTAGGTAAACACGCCCACTTATCATTCCAGGTCGACCCGTCATGTTGCTGCGCCATTGTTTTTGTTTTTTTCAAGGTATGTCTTTGGGAGGGGCTTTGCTGTAAAGTGGTTCTGAGTGCTGTGAGTGAAGCAGCTATTGAAATCATTCTCAATGTGTGGTTTGGTGCAAATCTAGCTATGGAAACGAAGCTGCTTCCCCTGTCAGGGTTGCGTGGAAAGCGAAATGCCTTGGGCAGGGTGCATGATGTCTGGACCGTGAAGACACTTAATGTCTTAGTTGTGGAAGAAGCCTCGTGCGAAATGTTCGTGTTGGAGGCTTCCCGCCTCACTTGTGGAGGAAATCCTACTTGTACGTGGAGACTTCCCGTGTCATTTTTCGAGTGCAAGATGAGAGCGTCCCACAACAGTGCCAAGCAAGAGTGTCCTACAAAAGCGCCATGCAAGAATGCTCGGCAAGAGTGTCAAAACAAGAGTATGCTAGAAGAGTCTCTCGCAAGAGTGTCAGGCAGGAGCGTCATGAAAGGGTGCGCCATTTTGCGTTTGGGCTCGTGGGCTGAATCTTCTTTTTTTTCTGACGACCATTTTCCTTGTCATGCGCGGTAATTGGACGCAGTAAGCCGAATCGTCGGAGGTTCATCTCCCACAGATTGGAACTCAGCCGTGAACTCAGGAGTTGCGGCACGGTGTCTGAACTCGTCAATTTCAACGGATGGTTTGGGGCTGACGCTGCAACGTAAGACGTAGATTCGTTCATGGCGCGTGTTGGTCATGTGCATACTTTCCTGAATCATTATTCCTCATGTTTCGGTTCAAGAAAGACGCCCACGCAATCCCACACACAGGTTCATGTTTCAAGACTCAATGGGTTTCCATGGGTTTTCATTGGTTTCCTGATTGTAGACAGCTTGATCCTGCAACATCATCCAACAACATCATCTACTCTCAATGCGTGTGTCGTAGACGTGGGACATTCTCTCACTTGTCGCATCGTGTGGAACCATGGAGGGCTGGAGCAAAGACAACTGGGGCATCGGTGCAATCATTTTCATTGGATTATTCGGCTCGTTGCTGGGCGTGTGCCCGGTGCGCTGGTTTCTCAGCCTGTTGCGACCATCGAAAACATGGCGGGATGATGCTATTTTGATTGATGGCACCTTGCTGGAGCTAAAGGAAGTGGAACAATCCGAGATGAATTGGTCTTGGAAGGAGCAACAGGGTTGATGATTCTATTTTCTTTCCTTGGCCAATCAGCAAAGGGCACACATGTGCGAGCTACACTTATGTTTTTTTGGTGTGCTTTTGCATCCTCGGTGTTCAAACAAGCCTGCCTTCAACTGTGCAGGTAAACCCACGGGCCTTTACCACCAAACAATGTGAAACTATGTTTTGTTCCAATGACCAGAGGGTGTGGGATTTGCAGTTGTGCCCTCTTCTTGACAAATTCATTCAGAATGTACTCTCCCAGGTCACCTTGGATCTGGAACTGGATCTGGAACTGGAACTCACCCCCCCTGACCACTCTCACCTTGGATCGGAACTGGAACTGTTCCAACCACCTGGGGCACACTCTGCCCCCAGGCAAGGTTCAAAAGCAGGATCCTGCAAACCCCTGAAATTAACTTCATTTCTCACTTGCCTGGGTTCTGGATGGTTTTGGTGACTCTGTTTCAGCAAGCAGAGATTCTCAAAAGGCTCAGTGACCCACAGCTGCTGGTTTATTTGTCCCATTTCCTACAGTTTTTGGGGTCCGCTTATTCTTCAAACAAACCCCAAACCCGTGGATGGGTCAAAACCAACCAACCCCAAACCAATTCTTCTATTTGTCCCTTTCCAAAACCACGTGCCAACCAACCCTGGTCTCGGTGACCACCGAGACTGCTCGGGGCAACACCAGGAGCAGCGCATCGCCTACTGCTTCGATCTGGGCCCCGCTTTGACTGGCGTGGTCCACGTCCGAGACTGGCGCGTCTCGGCGGAGATCTCCTCGCAGCTGGGGCGTGCAGGGTCGCCGGTGCACATCCGAAGACACAAGAAGGAAGCAAGCTGGGAGAGCCAAACCAATGCGGGAAGTATATGTCTTATGTAATGCCTTTCTTCCCAGATAGCAAAGCTATGGGGTTCTTACTTCAAATAACAATGAGCTGCCTGTGCGCGCTTTCGAGACAGGTTGCCGGAGCTGGTTCTGGTGCTGTGAGCTGGCTGTGCACGTGGTGGAGACAGGGTGCCGGTGCTGGTGCTGGGTGCTGGCTGTGCGCGTGGTGGAGACAGGGTGC